AGTCCCGCCTTGTTAATGTAATGTTAACAGTGCTTATGATTAATGGACCCTTTTTTCGGACGATCTATCTCCTCTAGCAGCCTGTCTTGAAAACACTGAAAACTCGTTTTCCCTCGTTGCATCGTGCATTCGCTGGCGTTTTCTCTCCCAACCCAACAACGTGTCGTAGCTCATGCACAGTAGTGTATGTTTAAATTTATACTTTTAAAGTATGTATGAAAAGTTAGTTTTGTTTACTAGCTTGTGTCAAACTGGGTATAGACTGATATTTTGTAGCTGCAGCAGGATAGACCTTGGCTAACATTTAAAATTTTTGCTTTGAAACTTGGGGTTTGAACGATAAGAACTCTTTTAGAGATCGAAGGCCGGCTGATCGCGGTGCCGCTGATTTGCTGATTTTATTAAATAGGTCCCCACCGAAAATTTAATTACGTTTTACATCTTATCAATTGACAAGAGACAAAGAAGAGGAAGGAGATCAAACTTGTGTAGAGTTCATTCTAGATAACTTCGCCATGTTCGCTGTATGCGAGGAATGAGGAATTCCCTTTTCCACGCATACAGCAAAAGAAGCAAAGTTATCTGAAACGGGCTCTAAAGCCACAGAACTCGTTAATTGATGCATTTCTGGTCTATCCTCAGTATGAAACACAGGTTTGTCGCTCCTAAACACTTCACATGCAAAATAAAGGCTAAACAGCGATTAAGAGGAAAATTACGCGAGAAAATTAAATAAATACAGGAAACTCGTTGTTTTACAAGAATCTTTCAGCAAAACAAGTTCCTTAAGGAAGTTCCGTCTCGGTCTCAGAATAACGACAGATCAAAGACGAATTTTTATCTATTTTTTTGGCAATTGATAATGAAATTCTAACATTTCGAAACCCTCCGGGTTTTTTTTTTTATCTATCCTCTGATTATGCAGCCCTTCCTCAAATTAAGTTGTTATTTTATCAAGCGTTCTGGCTAATTAATCGGACTGCATTTTGCAATTTGGAACTATAAATTCTAGCTCTTCTGGAAAAACACTTATGTGCATAGGGAAACCAATGGCACATACGTTGTTTTTAAACCGGGCTAGAATTTATAGTTTCAAATTGCAAAATGTAGTCCATATTGTAAGTTGCTCTTCGTCCGAAAGACCGTAGAAACCATGGAGGTATTTGGAACTCGGGTGCCTCCGAAACAACGCGATGACACGGCATGAAATTCCTTTTATTACGGCACCACTGTGTAAACTTGGGAAGTCGTGGACTCTTGGGCAAAGTCCGACAGTTGGACGACTGAAAAGCCATGATTGAGTTCTCCTGATGTGCGGTGATCATTGGATCGTAAGCTGAGCTGAGGAATGAAAGTTACTGGTTGCACCAGAGAGAGAGAGAGAGACGTGCCGACGCCGATGGATACCGATGCAACGGTTCCGATTGTATCTCGTCCTCCTGCACAATCCGTCCTCCGTCCTCACCCTTCATTTCAGTTCTTGGCCGTCATCTCCAATTAATTTGCTCCAGATTTTATCGCTCACTCCCTTCTCCGCTTATTACCGGCTCCGACGTCCGTTTCCCTTGGCAACCAGTGGCGGTGCGTGAATTGCGATGTATCGATTGTTATGCCATTTAAACCTATCGTAATGAATCGATTATTAAGGTGTTCGCTGCAAACACCCTGTTTATCGATCCTTTTCCAAAGGTTTAAATGGCATAAAAATCGATATATCGCAATTTACGTCACGCCACTGTTGGCAACGTGGGCTCCACTATGACATTGCACGAGTACAGAACTCCTCCTAGATGTGAAAATTCTCTCATGGATTGCATTTGATGCAATGCTGCATATCTGCCCGTGCAGTTAGCATCCCCATTTTAATATTAGACTTTCTCTTGTGCTCAGCATTGCTCATTCTTTGCTCACCCCAAGAATCACATTAATTTTTACTGCTCAGGCATGTAACACCCTCCTCCCCACTTCAATTGAACTTAAAGTTTCAGAGAAGCAATTGTCCCTAACACCCCTACTTTATACAATTGACTTGAAAATGGTCTCTAACGACGCAGAATCATGCATGGCGTGATTTGCAGAATTACTCACTTCAGAATTTGTGCACCCGGAAGAATCTTCAGAACAGAGGCTATGAAGCGCTGTGTGAAAGAGAGTTTATAATATTGTGTCTACGGTCCAGAAGTTCCTCTATCAACTTCAAAAGGGCTAAAAAAAAAAAAAAAAAAAAAAAAAAAAAAAAAAAAAAACATGCAAGAATTGAAACACGTTCCGGACAGAATTCTGTGAAAATTGTAAATTGTATTCTATAAACCTTTCGTTTTTAAAGTGAAGTTTTCGAAGTTTTTAAAATGTGCGCTCATTTTACGGAGATAATGTTTTTCACACTGTAATGCCAAGATAAAGGCGCAATCTTTGCACTTTTACAAGGCAATAAACTCGTATTTTATAAAACCCTCCAATCGCCATTCATCATGCTGAGTATCAATACTACCGCTTAGATTCCCATGATTTCAGATTTCCTGATGTTTCAGTCTTATTCTAATGAGAATAGATCGTCCGCTAAATATTTCGCGCGATTCTCTCGATCCAAAACTTGACAAAAAAATATTTTTTACAGAAGCACATCGCACATCTCCGGCTGCCTTGTCAGCTCCTAACCGCGAAAGTCATTAAACGAGCTGAAAAACGGGGCCTATCCCACACACTCATTTCATTAATCCTCTCTTATGAATGAACACGGAAACATGAATAGACCGCGCTACCGCAGCTCAACTGCCGGCTCATTTCAACACGTAGTCATACTCCGCGAGTCTCAAAAGAGTTACTAAAAGCAATAAACATTGTGAGGAACCGCCGTTGCAAAACCGCACCGAAATCCCTATTTTATTTCAGAGGTTTTGATTAAATGAAGAAATAATTGGCGGCTCGGTGGAACCCTTTAATGGGATCGCGATAAGGCTCTTTAGCTAAGCCACCGCGGGATACTTTTATACCAGAATTAAATTTGATAGATCAACATTATAGACCAGGCCGCGCCGCGCCGCGCGCGCCATGGGAGGAGTTGAAAGGGTCAGGCTTTGTTTTTTCTTCAAAAAAATGAAGGTGCAGAGCAGTCAGGCGGGACGCTGAAGAGAAAGGGTTCATGACCCTTCTAAACGTCCCTCTGTCGAAGCCCCTTTGTTCGTAAACGATCAGCTCAGCAGGTATTTTCGTTTAAAATTGAATTGGGCGACAATGTAGCTTGTCGACCAATTACTCCGATGAAGATAACGGCTGTAATTTTTTTGCAGATTCTAATGTTTCTGCGTGATCATACGGGAGCTGGTGTGCTTCATATCAAGGGCTTGGAGGACGAGGCGCAGATGTGCAGTTTTTGCTATTTCGAGAAAAACGTGTTTGAAGGTTCTAAATTATATGAAGCCTTATGGCGGAAAAAAAGTTCAAACTCACATTTGGATACCTAAAAATTAGATTCTGTCCGTGAATTTTTCGCAGACTTTATTTTGAACCTGGATTTAGTTGAAATCGTTAAGAGCTCAATTTTTTTCGCAAACTGCACTTATGTGCCTTCTCGATAACATAACAACAAAATTTAACGGAGACATAACATAATACAAAAAAAAGCTACATAATCACAGACTGATCGCGGTAACGCACGAGTCGTAACTTTTAGACAGTAAGTTAGAACTTACTGTCTAAAAGTTACAATGCTACTGAAGGTATAAATATTATTGGTTGGGCCTAAAATCGATCTCGATCATTGAAAACTACTATTCCAGTTATCGCACACTAAACTACCTCAATCCAAAATACCTAACCTCTAGCAATCTGAGTCAACCTCTGCGAGAGTCCCGGAGAACTTGGGCATCCCAGGTCGGCCCACCTGAACTTGAACGGCCTGTTTCTACATCCACCCGAAGCGCGGATCTCTCTGGGTCGCATCTAAAAACGAACGGTTTCCATTATCCATCTTTCGCGGGTCGCGGCAGCCAGCGTCTGATGTTTGATGCCTACTTAAACTGCGGTTCGGGGGAGGGGGAGGGGGAGCGCTAAGTTGCGGATTTTACGAGCGCGTCACGGTCCCGTGTGCGGTGAAGGTGGCAGTCGTTGTAGCCATGATACCTGAAACGCTTCATTCTCAAACCGAACATGTACTTTACTCCATGAGCTTTAGAATGTATCCATCATTATGGAGCTGAAGGCTCATCAGGGAATAGACATGCTCCCTTTTGAGATCGACCAATTTACCTGACCGCAACCGGCGACGTCTAAGGCTTCACCTCACGCTCGAACCGGCTCCGGTGTTTTCACCGCGTGAAGGAGCTTTTGAGATTAAATGACTTCAGCGGGCTGATGGTTGAAATTGGTCGACAAAGCTGTAGACAAAGAAGACATAAGGAGTATGGATCGACCCCACTGGTCGAAATGAGTGGTTCTTATAGACTAAGAGGGTAAATGAAGGACTAACTGAGGGGTCTCTCGTGAGTTGCCGTCAGTTAGTCTATTAACTTCCTCCTTTGTCCGTTGCAACCACCCGCTTTCACCAATAGGATTCCTCCATTCTCATTTTGTCTTCTTTGTCTATCACTATGTCTATCAATTTCAACAATCAGCCCGCAGTGTGGACTCAAGTTCACTCTTTTGTTGCTAAATTTGTGCATCTTTTACTCTCCTAAAAACAGACGGAATGAACGGACTGAAAACGGAGAACTTTTTCACGGAAAAAAAGAGGTGGGGGTCGTGCAAGAACTCAGGACTCAGCCTGAGCATCTCCAATGAATTAATTATTAATTAATTAATTTCCTTTTAATTAGGTTACCACACCATATATTTCGGTACTACCCCAACTTGAGTTGTGGTACTATCACGATGAGTTGAAAATGCGTATATCGTCCAACAAATTGGGGTAGTACCACACTGCATCGAATCCTGTACTGACAATTATAACCTGATTTTTTTTTTGCTCTAAAATATTGAAACGTGCTTTCTTTCTGTTTCAGGATATCAAACGTTCATCTCAAAGCAACAGCGTCTTGCTGCATTACAAACGATATTCGAGGTGTTGAAAAAACTATGTTCAGAAGTGTTTTTTTCAACTCAAAAGACGCCCCGACAAAAACATAGTTTCGTAACCGAAAAAGCGCGAAAAAACTCCCAATTCTCTAAGAGTGCGTGTTGATTTTTCAAAAGTGACCGATTATATGCGTGTAACTTCCTCAAAAATTAGCCTGTGCTTCAAAGAGGTATTTCTTACACAATATACAGCTGTATAAAATCAAAGAAGTGCGAATAAAGTTTATGCACTGAACTTGTCGAAAGTTTAACTGTAACTTAGAACGTGAAATAGAAAGATATTTGAGTGTTTGGAATTTTCGGCGTGTATACCGATCTTTGAAATAGTTCTCGCGGTGCGCGAATTCGATTTTGGTAGCGGCTAAGTTTTCAAGACGTCAAGATGTTTGCGGTGATGCAAGTGGAGACGGACGACAGGCGGGAGTTCAGGAGAAAGATGCGCGTCAAGAGCGAATTCGTTTGCAAGTACTGTCAGCGACGCTTCACCAAGCCCTACAACCTCATGATCCACGAGCGGTCGCACAAAGAGAACGTCACGTTCTCATGCGAGGTTTGCGGCAAACTCTTCAAGAGGCAGGATAACCTCAAAGAGCACAGGTATGTATCGTATCTCCCGTCATTTTTTATCTATTTTCGATTTCTACAAAAAAAAGACTCATTCAGATTTAAGGAATTTAGATGGAAGTTCACATATGCTAGTCAAAATTTGAGGACTTTTTCGGTAAAAAGGCCATGAGATTTGAAACGCTGCTAAAATTGTGCAATTTTAAATAGCGTTTGTGGCAGGTGTAAGTCATTTCCAGTCGACTTACTTCCTTACAATAGTGAGGAAAAATGAGACCCTCCACAGGCCTCCTAGCGACAGGTGGAAGCTTTTACTTTCGGGGTTTCAACAATTCCTTATGGACAATTATTAGGGAGCAACAGTCATCACCCTAGTTTCGGCTGTTGACTTACCTACATGGTCGATGATGAGCTTCGGATGACGTCATGAGCCAAAAAACTTTCCCAAACGTCGGCCATTTTCGGCTTGTTTGCAAAACGAAACTGCCAACACGTTGTTGAACATCAACCATGTAGGTAAGTCAATAGTAGAATGCTGAAGTCCCGAAAGTAAAAGCTTCCACCATGGCCAAGATACTAGTGGAGGGTCTCTTGTCTCTGGGAAAAATTCGGAGCAGATTCCGAGCAAAACGCATAGCAGAGCTGTCGGATAAGTTACTTACAACTAGAGAAGTATGTCGCACGATCTTAGCAGCGTTGAACGTCTCATACACGCCCTTTCACTGGAAAATGCCTCATTTCTTTTATCAACTTCTTTTCAACTAAAATTATTTTTGCGACACATCACGGTTATTTGCCAATGAATGACCAAGGCTCCAAGACAGACCCTGATGCTGCAATAACCGTTTACTAATAAATAGACCTTCTGAATCTATACATGTCTCTCTCAGTTGATACTGTCCAATAAGGAAGAAAAGGGTTGGTAAAATTGGTGCCAAAATACCAGCAGTGTATACGGGAAATCAATCAGAGTCGGGTCGCTTTCTCAACTCCAGTGAAATGTCAATCAGCCTACTGCCGGCCGGTAGGGCTGAGGACTTTAAAGCGGTACCCGTGATAGCCGAAGACGGCACTAACGATCCAAACAAAGAAACATGTTATAAACGATGAGTGATAAAGACGAATGAGAACAACCTACCGTGTCGATACGAGAGAAAATGAAAATAAGGTACAAACAAAATTATTTAAATTCGGACTCCTGCTGGTTAATCCGTGGCTGTCCATATAAAAGAGGCGGCTTTCCTAAAAAAAAAAAAAAAATCATAAACCCGCGAGACGTAAGCAGCGACGCCGGATTCAGTCTCAATAACCCATTCGCTTTGACGTGGGCTTTGATTTATTTTGAAAAAAATGGCAACCGTAGCCCACTGCTGACTGCTGGCCACGCTTTGAACGCCGTAAAACTCTCCGACGACAATATCAATGTTGCCAGTATTTCCGACTTTGTTTGCAGTCAATAAAAGTGTGTAATGAAGCCCTTATAATAATTATGGTTTCTTAGAATGTAGCACAGATTATGTGATTAGAAACCCATCTACCTAATCGGAGGCTGTAAAAATGTCAAACCGAATCCAACCACTCCTCCTCCCACTCTCCAAAGACACATCTCAGTAAAGGTTGAATATAAGGTCAGATGCTCCGACCTGCACGTAATATTGCCAAATTGCACCTCATTAAAATAATTATAAGCACCGTCAGGGAACACTGGAAAAAAAACACATTGGATCTAGAGTCCAGACTCTTGAAAACATTGACAAGAAAAAATACTCTTTTGATTCAATCAGATTTTTGCTTAAATCAAAAGGAAATCCGCTCAAATTAAGAGGCTTGGTTCTTGATTTAAGCAAAACTCCGATTGAATCAAGAGCATTTTTTCTTGTTATTGTTTTTAAGAGTCTGGACTGTAGATCCAATGTGTCTTTTTTTAGTGAACGTCCGATACGTTTACAATTCGATATGTTATGCACCCATGAGGGGATTGTTACAAGACGTTACGATCGGGAGGGGAACATGCCTTACTCGTAAAGTAATAATCGGAAAAAAGTATTAATTTCTGAAGGGAATCAGATCTTGGGGCCACTTTTTTTATAAAGACAGTATTGAACCGTGGGCAGGGGTTGTCAAGCTGTAGGGGGTTCAAAGTTTTGTATCACGGGTGCGGTAGATGCTGGGGAGGAAAAAGAATCAAATAACTGCGAAAAAATGTTTTTAAGGGTTGTGGACTTAAACTCAAGATAAAAATCATGAAATCCTCTAGCGTTTGGTTCGTCAGTGACGTCCAATTTTTTTCAATTTTCATAATCATTTAAAAAAATACGCTATCAATATAAAGCAATTTAAAATTAATTTCTCTAAAACTCAATCAAGTATAGGTTTTGTTTTCTTTATTCTAGAATTTTACTTATATGTACTCATTCTCAACAAAGAACTTTTATGCATAATACCAGCATGTATGCAATCGATCATACCTGTCAATAATAACTATCCGTCGAGTTGCTCAAAAACATTACAATTGCTGCTTTAAATCCGGCAATCTCGTTTGTGTTTTCATTTTTATTTATTTCTTTTTCATTATTATTAAATTGTACGATCTACGGGACAAAGAATGAGGTCTAGGAGGCTTCTAGATTCTCTGCGGTATGCTCATATAAGTAATAGCCATAAACAGATCAAAAATAGGTGTATTTCGCGAGGGATATAAATTACCTCCGTTTTTATTACGTGGAAAAAAGGGAAATCTAGCGCGTAATTTTGATGGCACTAAAATGATCAGAGGTGTATGCCTAAGTGCCCTCCTTACTGCTTTTTACGATATGTGAAATAACAAGTTGTAAATTATACCGATCGTTAAATGCAACTTTGTTCTCAAGCATCAATGGACTTATAGTTAATTTAGGATTAAGCTGCAGTAAAGGAGTGGGTATATCGGTTCATTTGGCCGTTCCACAGTCGTATAGATGGACTATATATTTCGTTTGAAGAAGCTGAGAAGAAATGAATGAGGAATGTACGCATATATTAGCAAAGTTTTATGATGCATACGGTGGCTAAAATCTAAATGGGCGATGGGATACTATATTTGAACAGTGTGCGCATTGTTTTCGTTGAGTCTAAATAACTTATCGTGTGTCAACTGATTAAACTTCTTCGTTTTGTACAAGGCTACTAAAAATTGGACACATTTGTGATATATGAGAGCATCAAGGGTCAGAAATATTCAGACAAAAATCAGACTAGAACATTTTTCGGTCCCCCTTACTCAAGTTTCGCATGGTGTGCACTCTTATTTTTGAGAATTCACTGGTCTATTTATCGGTAAACGGTTGAACAAATACATATTGGCTTTAAACGCGAGTTCAATCAATCATTTATCATGATACAAGGAAACCTTTTAAGAGGCAGAAGAAATGAATTGTTCGTAGTCAATCCAATCTAACACAAGGAAAAATTGATATTTTAATTTTCGCTATAGTTGCACCGACGGAAATAATGTTTCCACCATTATTTCTAGTTTCTAGAACAGTCGTATAATTAATGAAATAATCGAGGTTTATCTATTTTTTTAATTCTTGTATTAAATTTCCATGAAAAATTATTCTATATGCCATGTTTATGATATTAATCTTGGAAATGTATTTTTAACCGCATTGCCGATGTCCGATGGTTTATGAAGTAACAATTCTTTCTTGCTTTTTCTAAATTTACTCTGCCGAGTTCTGTCTCTTCAATATACTTTATGGCTTTTTAATTAACATAAAAAATATCGGTGAGCAGTGCGAGAAATTGACTTAGGATCATTTAGATAAATTTTGAGACTGTGCAATTCATGTTTTCGCATGAGCGTCTCCAGTGCAGAATTACATACGTGGAACAAGGAGATAATTTACAAAATTAAATTTTTTGCACAAAAGCTCTCTTAACATTGATGCAAATTATTTGTGTTGAATGTTTATATCAAATTGTGGGTCTCCCCCAAGAATAAGAAGTGCATCATGAGCCGTGCCACATTTTTCCTCATTCAGAACAACTCTTTATGAAATCCAAAAGTCATTCTCCCGCGCTCAAATTTTATTCCTACGGTATTCATTTTCGGCAAAGGTTTCTAACATAAAGCCAGAGGACATATATTAACACAAATAAACATGCAATGCAAAATACACTTTCAACTTTATTTGTCTGTATTTCAAATGTAAATTTTGTAAATATCTTTTATGACACTATACCTCATTTGTATCAATACTTTGTGCCTCTAAGCTTTTAGAAAAAACTCAAAATTTACTTCGAAAGAAGTCTCGTGGTCGATCTCATTTAACTTTCAGTTAAAGTAGACACGAGTCAAAATAATCGATTCCTCACTCTTTATTGCAATTGTGGACTTGAAATCTCCCTTTTCCAATTATTTTTCCCTCTTCTCATCTCTCAATAATTAATTGAGAAATTACAATTGTTTCCTTGTATTAAAAATATTTTTCATTAATTACTTTAATTGACTATTTTGTACGTCAAAACTTATAAGGAAATCATGTATAGAAGAAAAACAGAAATACGATAAAGAGTAATAATATGAGTATACGGTAAAGCTTAGAGGCCATTGTTGCAAGTATATTTTCTTTTATCTATATAGCTTGTCTGGTGAGGTTGTCTCGCTGCGCGCTGCGTGTATACAGGAGGTATTGTATCGGCACTACCGATTGGTTCAACATTTAAACATAACCACAATAGTCTATTGAGTAATCTGTAGGAACGGGTTTTTTGCGATAGATTTTTAATTCTAATGAGCACCACACGGAAATGAAAAGTGAAATTGTTAGAACTTTTGTATGGGGAAAAAATCTCTCAGTTTAAACGTATGAATTTTGATTTATATAGCTTATTGAAGTTTTTGGTCACAAAATTTGACCTTAAAATCGGGTCATTAAATTTTTGGTAAAAGATGGAGGTGTTCAGCGAATCTCCCGAAGACGATCAGCTTCTGTGATCATAAATTTCAGTTAGTAGAACCGAAGAATTTGATGAACCATTTAAATCTAGGTTTGTTTTGAAGGAAGTTATTCTCTCCGGACAATACATTGCTTCTCTCAAGTTTTGACCATCCATGAGGCCATTTCGGTCACTTTTAGCCAATTCTTGGAGCAACGTCGGGCGCCCAAGTAGCATCTTTTCAACGGAAAATGGCGATATTTTGAAATCAAAGTGCGATTTTTTCTACGAATTTTTGGCGATAAATTAGCTAGGATCATCAACATCTGAGCGATTATCCTCAATCCTGTCGCAATTTCATCACCATAAAATTACGTTCGATAGAATCGATATTTGATCTCAATTTTTTGTTCGATAACACTGCGACAAATCGCCGTCTATAAATTGCAAATTTATGCGTTGAATCCGAGATGATCGCAATTTTTATCCGATAATGCAATAAATTGACGTGGATAAAATCGCGATACATTCTCCGATCAAGTCGCGACTTATCGCCATCCTTGCTCTTTGGGAGGTGAGCCCCTCTCTGACACAAATGATTCCCTCTCAGAGGCGGATCCAGCAATTAGGCAATACAGGATTTCCTCCAATTGAACCTATGCTAAATAATCGATTTTTATCGGAGCACCTGGCCCCTCCAATAATCGATACATTTCCATAGGTTTAAATGGAGAGAAGACAATTTTGCCAATTTGCTGGATCCGCCAAGGTTCCCTCTGCCCAAGATTAAACTGCGATGACGACACTGCTCCTGAAGTAGGAAAATAGGATAAAAATGGAGGGTGAAGGTGGGATTGGGAATGGGGAGACAACAGTGGCGTGGCGTGCTTTGCGATACATCGATTGTAATTCCATTTAAACCTATGGAAAAGGATCGATAAACAGGGTGTTCGCAGCGAACACCTTAATAATCGATTCTTTACCATAGGTATAAATGGCAAAACAATCGATACATCGCAATCCACGCCACGCCACTGGGAGACAACCTCGCCGGGCACGGACTCGGATTCGAGTCGGGAATTGGGGATGGTGGCGTTTGCGTCTAACCTCTGACGGTGGATCTCCGATGATGGGACTAACTTTGACTAATGTTGGTTTGTAGGTGTGGGTGGCGGTGAGTGAGTGGGTCCTCTGTCCTCCGATCTCCGGGCCCGACTCTGACTGTAAGCATAACTACCTACTCTCACATCTCTCATCTCTCATCTCACACTGTTTATTGCATGGCTTTTCAATTAACCAACGCCCAACACCCGCACCCGCCTTCGACACCAATCCCCTTATCTATCAGGTATTCCCTCGAATTTTATCTTTTATATATAGTTTTATGCCGCCAAGCGCAATCTATGCCTCTCAGCTTCGAGTCAACGGCTATCACAACAGTTTACTCCTCTCTTCTACTCAGTGACGTGGCGTGCTCTTCGATATATCGATTGATCGGTCATTTAAACCTATGGAAAAGAATCGATGAACAGGGTGTTCGCAGCGAACACCTCAATAATCGATTATTTACCACAGCTTTAAATGGGGAAATATCGATAGATCGCAAAGCACGCCACGCCACTGCTTCTACTCGAGCTCAGTACAGAGGAGGGGAGTCAAATCACATGTCGATCATCAAGGTTAATTAGAGTGGGACGCAATGAAATGCTCGTATATTCCAATGCCACTTCACGGCAGCAACCTAAAGACTAGCATACTGCCATGCTAAGGAAGAACGCCGTATGAACATTTGAGAGTTGCCAAATTTCTCCGGATGAAACATTTATTTTTGAGGAAAGTTTTGCATATTTTTCCGTGAAATTTTCAGATATTTTAGATTGAATTGTAAACAAAATTCTCAGAAAAATGTGCAAAAAAATATTCATAGCTTTCCCGATAAATTAGTAATTTTTTAAAGGAAATATGGCAACGTCTGAAGGCTCATACGGTGTTTTTATCTTAGCACGGCAGCATAGCCATCTATACCAAATTCGTCGTTTCCGTCACGAAAGAACGTAACTACATTTTGTGTTGCCAAATTTCCCCTCGAAAATTGCTTATTATCTAGGAGAATCTTGGACATTTCTAACCGAAAATTTCACTGGTTTTTCCACGGATTTCATACAAAAAGCAGAAAAAATGTTGGATAAAAATTGCACATGTACAATTTTGTAAAATAAATCGATTGTTTGTGTCAATTTGGCAAACTTGGAATGGAGTTATGTTCCTCCGTCCGAGAGACGACAAATAATGTCAACAAACTTTTCTCCATGAATAATTTGTTGCCTCTCGCAATTGATGGTGCTAGATTTGCTGTATATTACGCCAAAATCTTAACTGTTAATAACTCAATAACAGTGGAAACCCAGGAGATTAATTTTTGTCTGAAGAATTCTCTTAGGATTTTTCATAGCTACGTAGTAATGAAAATAAAGTTTAATTACTGAGGTAAAATGCGCCTCTTTCTCTCACTCATGGAGACGAATTAAGAGACTATCTCCAATTTAATAATCCGACAATGTTCTGATCAGTTCTTGAAAATTTCTGACATGCCCCATCTACTAAGCACTATAGTTTAATACTGGAAACGATTATTTAGAGTCGAAAATATGTGGATTAATGACCAATAATTTTTTCTTGAAATTAATATAGTACTATTTCTGTACATATAGTTCTGCAAAGATAGTTAACCGAGAAAGTAATATCAGGAGTGGGTGTGGTTTCAATATCTTCCCATTGCAATCAACTCTAAGCTTTCTATTTACAATTAATTAAAGAAACGCTCTTGCTGTAAATATCAGCTGTATAACTGCATGCATGACTATGAAGATCAACGCTGAAGAAATATACTCTAGATTACTTGCAAGATGAATCGTGAGCTATTGTTAATTTAGGAGTTTTTATCGTCTTATATGTTTACCGAATTATTTAATCCTTATTTTATTAATTTTTAAAATTTTGTTTTAGTTTGATCAAAAAAGTAGTTTCACAACACCTAATTCTATCTAATTAATATCTCTATTAATCTAAGTGTTTGTTTTTTGCAGGTCCATTCACAGCCCGAACTGCAATAGAGTTGTCACAGGTTTTGCCGCTCGTTTATAAATTACGACTGATTTTTGACCTTTAACAGGTTTGCCGAATGTTAATAATCTGAAATTGAACTAAAAATGTATACATAAATTAATTTTAGAGTATCAATGCACCATTTGCATTGTCGTCCCTGGTCTCGAAAACAGCACATGTTCAAAAATTTTCTCTTCAATAATAATGGCGAAAATTATGGATTATTATTGAGGATGAAATCCAAATTACACTTATTTGTCTGATAAAAAAAGTTTGCGCCGTGGAATTTAAACGGATCAGAAGATTTAAAAAATCCACTCAAAGACTTTGCCATTTTTTTTTTTTTCAAAATATTTTTGAAGCCAATTTTTTATTCTACTTTTGTATCATTGTCTTTGTAAACCACCTATAAACAATTTTTGGGATCTACATTTACTAAATGTTCAAAACATTGAACGTGTGTTGTTTTCTTAATCAAGTAGCAATTTCTCATGTTTCCTCCTGTTTTAATACTGTTCATATCCAATATTATGAGCAAAATCAAGTTGTAATTTGTTCAAAAATAATAATGATGGCTTTCCCCGTCCACATTAAAATAATCTCGTCCACAGTAAAACTGTTTAGGTTCACATTATGCTTCTTTAAATATCGGGAAATTCACAAGTATTTAAAGGTACTTATAACTTCATCGTCACTTTTTACACGTATAATACAGCTCAAGTAAAAACTCTAGAGGTGCGGTACCACCTGTCTTTCATTGTTCTTCGCATAGCTCTAAACTAGTTTCACTACTTAATCAAAGCTTCCGTAAATCATGCATCCGTCCAAACAAAATTCCATTTATTCCTTGTAGTTTTGCGACTTTGTTTTATTTCTCTCTCTTGTTTTGAAACGTCCACATACAGCCTACTGCAAGAGAATTAAGTGGAATTTTTAGCTATTTCCTTGCGTTTCTTTCGTCTATGTAAATACCTACATTTATACTACCAAGTTTTTGATTGGTTAATTTATACTGTTTTATTCTTATTTGTTTACTTCTTCCCAGTGATTTCTTTCTCTCGTTAAATTTTGGTTCCTTATGAAAAGTTTTTATAATATTCTGTAACAGAGATGATTTTCAGATAAGTTACCACTAAACCATAATGCTTTCATGCATCATCAAAAAGATTCATCTTTCAAAATTTAATTTTGTGCATTGTAATGCAAAAGTCGATTATTCAAACTAAAATTGGTAGTCATCGTGATACTAAAAGATTTTGACCGAGGGTTAGAATTTCGGTACTTTTGGCCATAATTTGACTTTATTCTTAGGTTTATTGAATATATGCTTTCTACATCCTAGAATCCCCTCTCCTAAAAATTTAAAAAAAAAAAAAAAATGTCAACACATAGAAGCAAGCTTTGACCCCCAAAAAAGAAGGTAAACTTCCTGAGCGATTTTACCTGAAAGTTTTTACGCGTTGAAAAATCTGGTAACATTAAAGAAAAGGAAAATAAAAACAAATCTTTGAATCGCCTAGTTAAAATTGTCTTAATTAGAAATACATTGATTCGCAAATAATTTAATTTCAGTGGTAAAATAAATTTAACTGTGTTCTCTTGCTTTAATACTGAACCAATCATTCCAGCACACTAGTAATGAAGATAATCGCCCAAAAGTGTGTGCAAAATCAAACAAATAGGGCCGTTCTTGAGAAATAGTCTGGCTTCAAAGAGAAATGTGTATATCCTTAAGGCTCATTAAGGTTGTTTCAATTGTTGTTTTGGTAATGATAAGAACCTTTTATTTTACAAAAAGCAACGACCACCCTCTTTTGAGATTTACGAAGGGACTATGCGCCAAAAAAAATTCCAGTCTCTCATCGGCAAATTCTATCAAGTCCCCTCCGTCCATGAATGATCATGAATTCAAACAGGTACGGTAAAGCGGGCAAAGTTTCGGACCCTAATATGAACTTTATAAAACTTAGTCGTAAATTTGAAAAAATAATTTCTAGTCTTTCTTAAAAGATAATAGAGGATTTATAGTTCAGTGATTATAAAAGGACAAAAATATTTTATATACCCACAAAAAGAAAAACAAACACACCCCCGCACAAACTCATTAACAGTGAATAAACAATTAAGAATAAAATATGAACGTTGATTGTGATGTATTTTTAGCATTTTCAACTATTAGATAGTATGTTTTTAACTATTAGGATACGAAGATTTTCATTTTTTCTCAGTAAAACTTTGATTAGCAAACTTTAAAGTCTACTTCCATAGATCATAGATTAAATCCACTATGGAAATGTAAATACGTACGAGTGTTTTTACATTAAGTTGCAACCACTTTCATAGTACTAGTAACTATTCCACCTATTAAGGTGTTGAGTGATGACAGGTTTCAAGGCGTCAAACGTTGGGACCTTTAAAACAATTTGGTTTTAGTTCCAGATCTCAATTGCTTCTACGCACTGCTTTAGCAACCATAAAGTGCTAAATAAATGATAATTCAGCTTAAGATGATTTTTTCTAAAAATTTATGAATTCCTGTTATCATTCAGAGCTGGTAAACAAAACATAATCTATTTTTTATCAATTGAATATTTTTGCAACCTCGCACTTCTGAAGATCCCAATGTTTTGCACCCTATTAACTTCCATAACGAAGTATCTGTAGTCTAAAATAAACGCGTCACATATTTTCTTCAAAACTTATATACCGTTGATGCTGTTTTAATTGCATGTTCTACGTAAAGTTATGAAAAGTCTTTGCGGTGCTCTGAGGAAACCCTTCAGCTGAGTTTACTTAGCTAAATTCAACTTTGTGAATTCAAACAATGTAATGTTTTTCGCCATGTCCCTTTGAGGTGTATGTGTTTTACTGTCAGTTGGAGTTAAGAACGGTCGGTAAATACATTTGTCCTGATGTATAATGAGATATGTTTCTTCTGCCGCTGACATTATGATTAATTTGTATTCACATACTATTACAACTTTAGTCGTTCATTTGAAAAACAAAATGTCACGGATAGACTCTAATAATAAGTTAGCTGATTATGCAGTTTGAGAGAATTTTAAGAATGTTTCTCACTCAAAATAAGAAAACTACTGAACAAAAACACTATGAAAGTACTCGCATTGTTTCTGACGCATCATTTTGTTAAACGCTTTGTGTACATTACTATTATCTTTTTTTAAGTTTTACGTTTAAGTGTGAAATTGTACATATTATTTTGATTTTAATTGCTCTACAGTTTTATTTATTGTGTAAATTTATCAAGAGATTAAACGCAAAATAAAATGATTCTTTTTGAAGGAAATTTTGAGTTTACTTGATAGCAAAAATTTATCTCTAGGGAAGTTTTTTTCCCTGAAATCTTGGGTAGAGTAGCTATTTTTGTATTGAAATATAAGTACTAATACCTTGGCTGTCAGACTGCTGTGTGGTCCAGAACCTGAGAGTTGCTCTGCCGTGGTAAAGATGAGCCAGTGGCCAGGTGTGAATGATCGATTATCGATATTTCTCCATTTGAAGCTATGGTATAGGTTCGATTATTAAGAAGTTCCTTGCGAACCCCCTGTTAATCGATCCTTCTCCATATGTGTGAATCATAGATAAATATCGAAAAGCACGCCACACTACTGAGATATGAGCGCTGGAAAACATTCAAATAAAATGTACCCCAATTAAGACATTAATTTTTGACAAAGACCAAGAATCTTTTGCCTTGGAATTTTCTGGTATCTTTTATTTAATGCCAATAAAATTATCTGAAGTTGGAGTAACATATACACAAGTTTCTCAAGAAATTTTCAATTAATATTTCGAAGGAAATTTCACCACGTCTGACTGCTCATATACGGCGTTGTTCCAGGCGAACATCAGTGCTATTTGCACACGGAAAAAAAGAGGTAAAGGGTTGTTGGATGATATGGGCATTTCCAATTAACGTGATAGTACTCAAATTATTGTTTTTGGTATACCAATTAATTCTAGTAGTGCCCCAATAACCATCAGGTCACTAACCCAAATGTTGCGGTCCTACCCAGTAGCGTGGCGTACTTTGCGATGGATCGATCGTTATGTCATTTAAACCTATGGAAAAGGATCGCGATAATCAGGGTGTTCGCAGCGAACACCTTAATAATCGATTCTTTACCATAGGCTTAAATGGCATAGAACAATCGATAAATCGCAAAGCACGCCACGCCACTGGTCCTACCCCAACTTGAGTTGCGGTACCAGCACAATTGATTGGAAATGTGTATATCATCCAACAAATTGGGGTAGCACCATAATTTTAGGGGATAACCCTTAACACTTTTTTTCCGTGCACTTAGAGTGTAGCTTTGCTACTAAGTAATATTGGTCATAACTGTAAATTTGAATACAGAGAACTATTTAGAGATTATATGCTTACAGCCAGGAGCTATAACAGTTCATTTGGTGTATCCTCAAATTTAAATATGAGAGAGAAAAGAAATGAAATTCTAATAAATTAGATAGCCAAAACAGGCGATGAATTAATATTAAATAGAGAAGCCCGGAAGCCAATAACTTAAAAATTTTCGACTTTATAGTAAATATTCGAACAATTCTGCATGAAATGAGAACAATTTCCTCAAATATTACACTGTCCAAAATCATAATATGTTCTAGTCTTATGTTGAAATTAAGACCGATTCCCCTTTGCCACAACTTCTTATTTTTGAAGGACGAAGCCAAGGCCAAGGGTTGCGATCTTCTATCCAATTCTATTCCAACTCCTAGCCAGCAGCCAACCTCTATGGATCGAGTATCTTAGAAATGTTTTCTTTTTGATGTGGCGTATTAAGACCAACCTAGAATAAAGCCACGACATTGACCATAGTGCGTGATCTGTCAATCGCCCATTTATCAATTTCCTCTTTGATCACTACAAAAAGTACTGATGGTTTGTCGTCAAATCGACCCAATAACGGGGCCAGAATCTAGTGGCGTGGCGCGCTTTGAGATATATCGATTGATTTATGCCATTCAAACCATTGACAAAAGATCGTTTATCAGAGCGTTCGCAACAAACACCGTAATAATCGATTCTTCACCAGCTTGAAATAGGATAATATTGATAGTCAAATATCACGCCTCGCCACTAGAAATAAATCACGTGGTTCAATCAAATATCCGCAAGACTCAATTTCTAATTAGCATCATCGCATCTAATCGTCGAAAAGACAAATTTTCAATGATCTACCTCCAGGCTTCAGGCATAAAAGGATGATTTCTCTTTACCACTACATCAAATTCTTACGCTGATACAACGTAAACAGGCAGTTGTAATTTTTAGCATGTGAAATAATTTTCATACACCCTTCAGTTTTTGAAAGCCTGATAATCCAGATCATTCAATAATTTAGTTACACTTGAAGTAAGTTACATATGCACTGTCAGTATACAATGAAGACCCATGAGTTCCAAAAGTTTAAAACTTCTAAAAAAATCTCAAATTTCTTCCCTTAAGCTTAGCAGCGACAACGAAAGTCCGGCCAACGCTAAAGCATCAGCTCATACTTGCTGAGAGTAAAATTTAAAACAGTTCCATTTGAAATGGGAATCGAACTCCTTTTCAAAAAAGGTAAGAGAAATATTTTAATCTCTAAAACTGCAATCAGCGATTGCCGGCATTAGCAAACCACCAAAGTATAAATAGAGAGGCATATAAAATGCAGAAATAAAGGAACACGATTAGAGTGCCGATTATATTGCTTTTAATGTGAGTACACAATTTTCCTTCCATAAAAACATGGTGGTAACAGGCACAAGTGAGAGAGCGTGCAATGAGACCCATGATCTTAGTTGGGCTTCAATCGGATAGGCAACTAAACTAACTCCGTGACGAAGCGTAGAGTATCACGTAAAATGAAGGCGTTCCATGCCGAGATCATGCTACTGGAGGCATCAAACCCTCATTATGCCGATGTACATTATTGCAATTTATCGAAACGACATGTGATCTGCTTGTAGATTGTCGGCGATTGCTAATTGCCTTCAACAATAATAATAAGTAGCAAAAATTTATGGGAACTGCATTCTTATAGTAACTCCTGGGGATTAAAACTATTTTAGAGATACAATAAAAACTCTTTTATTAAAGTGAAAAAACATTCTCATCTTGGTTGGCAGGTTTGGTGGTAAAATAAAATTCCGTGAAAATCGACGTTTCTTTTAAAAAAATTTACCTTAAATTGTTTCTTTTCTCATGCGTTCCCATATGTTAGGCACTGACGTGGCGTGAATGATCGATTATCGATATTTCCCCGTTTGAAGCTGCGGTGAAGAACCGATTACTAAGGTGTTCGTTGCGGACACCCTGTTTATAGATCTTTTTGCATAGGTTTAAATGGCAGATCAGTCGATAAAGTGCAAAGCCACTGATGTATGGTTATAGATTGATTAAGTGGCAACGTCATTCGATATAATATTGAACCCTTGGTTCTAATGTAAACAAACAGAGAACCTTCTTTCTTATCCGCGCCCTTCGGGCCACGGTGGTATTAGTCCAGGTGTTTCTTACAATCAAAAGTTCTCGTGTTTAATGAGTAGGTATTTAATTGATTTATGACCTATCAATGACCAAATTTTAATAAATTTTACAATTAACTCATGAAGAATTCGTACATGAGGTTACAACAGTTTGTTTTGGTTTGAACCAAGAATTCGATTCTATATCGAATGACGTAGTCACTAATTCAGTATTTTCATAAATGAGAAGGAAAGTGATTCGTCAAGCTCAAGTGACGTGGTCGATGTGGCATGTGATATATCACATCGATTACGTAAAAAATATCGGCAAATTTTGAATTTTTAGCAAAAACAGGACGATTGCCCCCGCACCTTAGCCTAAAGAATCATTCTAAACCCAAGAATCGGCAAAATTTAGAGAAATGAAAGCAGAATAGTGTTGGGAAAAAAACTTCGCATTCGATACGAAAATCGATAGCTGAATCGAATGCGAGGTTTTTTTTCCCAACACTGTTCTGCTTTTATTTCTCTGAAGTTCGCCGATTTTTAGTTTAGAATGATTCTTTAGGCTATATAATGTGCAGGGGCTATCGTCCCTTTTTATGCTAAAAATATGAAATGTGCCGAGATGTTTTACCTAATCAATGCGATATATCGCATGCCACTTACACATAACTTGAGCTTAAATTTTAACAGGTAAACATCCACTGGAAAAAAAAACACATTGGATCTAGAGTCCAGACTCTTTAAAACATCGACAAGAAAAAAAAGTACTCTTGATTCAATCAGAATCTAGCTTAAACCAAGAACCAAGCCTCTTAATTTAAGCGGATTTCGTTTTGATTCAAGCAAAAATCCGATTGAATCAAGAGTATGTTTTCTTGTGAATGTTTTGAAGAGTCTGGATTCTAGATTCAATGTGCTTTTTTTTTCCAGTGTCCCATTGGCAACTGTTGATGAAAGGACGAAAGTGATTTTGACTTTATTTGTCAGATGCCACGAAACTCATTCTAAAAAGCAGGATAGCGGATATAGAGATCTGTGATGAGGTTTTGAACGGACGAATGTTTTTGGGTTATCTTGGGTCCGTTAGAGGCCGTTTCCATGGAAAACGCGCCGAGAGCTTCCAGCGGAGGACTCGGCCCGCGTCGGCCGCGGACTGCTTCGCGATGGGTGGTGCGAATTTGCATAGCCACCAGGAAAGAGGTCAGGATCTGGGCAACAGAGTTGTTAAGCGGCTAAAATTGGTCTCGCGGAGATAAGCGACACGACGCCCACACGCCCGCGTCCGAATCCGTCAGCAGTTCGTTTCGTTGACAGCCCACCGAGTTTTGTCAAAAGTAAATAAAACGGATAAAATACGGTTTTTATTGAGCTTGCTGAGTGCTAACCATCGATTACCGGCCGATTAGCTCCGACCAGCGGCGCCTGATTTCCGCTCCGAGTTCCGACGGAAATTCCCTAAACCCTATTGGACTAATCCCATAAACGTCGATTCTGTGTCATCACTTGCAGGATGATTGTTGAAAACGATAGACAATGCGATAGACAAAGAAGACTCGAGGAGTATGGAGCGCTCTTTTTGGTTTCACATGGGTGGTACCTAGACTAAGGGAGAAAATAATGGACTAACTAAAGGGCCTCTCGTGGGTTACCGTCAGTTAGTCTATTATCTACCTTGTTTGTCCATTGCAACCACCCGCTTCTACCGCGATAGGATCCCTCCACATGCTTTTTGCCTTCTTTGTATACAACTTTTTCTACAAATTTCAATAATCAGCCCGCAGTATGACTTAAGATAGGGTCGGGATCGAAACA